GTGCTTGAAACTGGTCCCTGGCACAAAAAAGGTTGGGGACCACTGAGCTACACGATCCCAGGAAAAGACCCTGCTGTTTTGTAGAGCTGAGGACAAGTGCTATGTTTGTGCTCCCTCAGGCTCCACATTTCTTTTTTCTTTCTGATCCTGTTAATCAGACATTGTCCTACCTGGGCCACATCAGTGCCAATACGAGCTGCATCTGTGCTTAATTGCTTCTCTTGCTCCTCTACCTCAGGATCGGGCTTAGTTCGCAGATGATCAGGTACAACTTCATGGCTGAACACTGGCACTCGTCCTTCTGTCTGGCGCTGCAATATTCAGTCTATTAGGACTCATATCTTGCAACAAAATCAGACAATACAAAGCTAAACTCACAGGTCTCAGGTTATTGGAAATGTAGCTTCAGAATACCTACCTCTGCAAGTTTTTAATCTTTCTCTTTCTTATAATAAAATGAGGCAATTAAAATAAATTTCAATGAGTTAGCGTCTTCACCATCTGCAAGTCAGCCGTTATGAAGGAACAACTTGAAACCTGAACTATGATATTGAATTGCCACATACAGTATACATCAATGTATTACATTGTACTGCAGTGTGATGATTCATCCTGAAAATAATATTGACCAAAATATAGGGAATGAATGAGCATTCCCTGATCAGCTCCATGTTCATTTTGGAAATGTGCTTTGGAAAACAAGCTGGCCCCCTCTTTTTTGTGGCAGTCTCTCAAATACTGTTCTGAATTAAAGCAATTACTTAAGATTATGTCTTTTCTTTCCCCATTCACTTTTATAATTCTGTCACCTGTGCATAGCCCTGCTTCAAAAGCAGACCTTCCATCCTTAACTTGTTTAACAAATATGGTGTCCATTGGCCTTGGCTTCTTTCTTGGATTCCCTGGTTGCAGTTTCCCGGTGAGAGGGAGTTTTTTCTCATGGGGTGGCCCCTGCTGTCCAACAGGTTGCCATTATATTAATCTCCAGTTGCAAAGAAGAAAAAAAAATCACTGGAATCCATGTGTAAAGGAAGTAGCGCATAACCAAAATAGGTGTCCAAGGGAAGAAGTGAGGAGGGAGTTTGTGTGTGTGTGGGTATGTGTGGGTGTGGGTGTGCGTGATAATAAGGGAATGTAATAATATATTACTTTATCGCTTGGCCATGCTCTTGTTTACGTGGAACTGATAGGCTGCCAAATTATGATTTCAACATAGATTTGATTTGTTATTTGTCATTATTTTATTCTAAAACTTATAACTAGATACTCTTTGAAAGGTTTTAATTGTGTTGGTCTTTGACTGTAATAAATATTTGTTATTTAAATAATAAAGCAATACATATAAAAGCAATTTTTAAACATCATACAGAAAAATTGAAGGTTTTTAAAAAGAAGACATTTGTATTTTGAGTAGGAAAAGAATCAGTGTTTTGATTTATTAAAAAGACTTACATTCTGTAATAATCAAGCTAATTTAGTAAAGGTCTGGATTTAATGTCTCTTTCTCTAATGAAAATCAACTTCAATGAGTTAGCGTCTTCACTATCTGCAAGTCAGCAGGAGCAGCTTGAAACCTGGACTGTAATATCAAACTGTATACAGTATACATCAGTGTATTATTTATTACATTGTACTGCTGTTTGATGAATTTTGATTCATCCTGAAAACAATATTGGCTGAAATATAAGGAATGAATGAGCATTCTCTGATCAGTTCCACGTTCATTTTCAGGACTATCTTATAGGAGTTGTATAATATGAAGAACTCATTGGGCAATAATGTTTTGAAACCTGTCCTAGAGATGTTAAAAGCAAGTCATTAAACACAAGAGTCTATTTTATTGCATTGCAATGCAACTTATCACAGGACCAGATTAAATTCCAAAACAGACATAATCTAAAAGATATAGGGCGATTATGCTCATTCAGTTTCTTACTCCAGGGATTATGCTTTATTGATCTAGTTTGCTGACGTAGTCTTCACATACAGAAGAGTAGGCAGTTGAACTTTCATCAAAATATAAGTAAAAAGTACCTTTCTAATACTCATCTCACAATAAAAAAAGTAAAAGCATATACGAAGAAATTAGACTGTAGTAAGTTTGGTTGGAATCAGAGGTGGTATTCAGCAGGTTCTGACCAGTTCTGGAAAACCGGTAGCGGAAATTTTGAGTAGTTTGAAATACCCCCCCCCCGACTGGCCCCACCTCCATCTATTCTCTGCCTCCTAAGTCCCAGCTGATCGGCTGGGTCTTCTTTTGTTGCCCTGCACAGGAGAATGGAGCTGGAAAGCAGGTTGGTGGGGTGGGGAGAGAATGGAGATTTTATAATATTCTTCCCCTGGAGTGGGGTGGGAATGGAGATTTTACAGAATCCTTCCCCTGCTACGTCCAAGCAATGGCCACCAAGCCACACCACACTCACCATACCATGCCCACAGAACCGGTAGTAAAAAAAATTGAATCCCACCACTGGTTGGAGTCCAATCCATTTCCACCTATGCTATGAAGGGTTCCATTTAAAATGTACTACACTTGATCTTAGCCAAATGGCTTCTTTCTTCAAGGCCTTGTACCATTCATTCTCCAAGATAAATTCTGTTCTTCATGGATCAAGGCTGTTGAGTCCAACCTTGCTAAACTAGGCTTTTCTCCATCCTCAATACTCAAGTTGCCCTATGACCAGGAAAAACAAACCCTAAGACAAAGGGTTGAGGACACAGAAAAGCAAACAGATCCATTGTTTCTGGCTCCAGATTCAATTTAATATACTGTCACCCCTGCCAGTTATCTTAGCCAGTTAAAGATAATGAATCATCATATACTGTCACCCCTGCCAGTTATCTTAGCCAGTTAAAGATAGTGAATCATTTTCGCTTACACTATGTCATGTGCTTCCCCTCAGCCGTCCTGGATGGCAAATATGAAGGGATATGGTTGGCTGACCCTGTGATTCTGGAGCAGGGGAAACCTCTGGATACACCCTCCTTTGCTGCTCTTTTTATAGAGACATACAAACAACATTTATTTTCCATACAATTAATAGGTATCTTGGCTGTTTTGATACAATTTATCTTTTATCTTAAAGATGAACGGATCATAGTCACAGTGCAAGTAGATAGATTCTATGCAGTAGCACTAAAAATTCGCTGGAACTTGATAAATAAACCACTAGAATTATTTCATACAATTAATGCACCAAATCTTTCGATATGAGCACCGTGTTATATTTTAGTACCTGATAAGTTTAGGCGTTCACAATTTTAGGATTAAAAATCAATCAGAATAGAGCTGGAAGGGACCTTGGAGGTCTTCTAGTCCAACCCCCTGCTCAAGTAGGAGACCCTATACCAGTGATGGCTAACCTTTTCGGCACCAAGTGCCCGAAGCATGCATGTGTGCACCCCCAAAATGCAATGTGTGTGTGCACCCCGCACATGCAACCCGTACGCATGCGCGGCTGAGACCTGAAGACCAGCTGGCTGGTTGGAGGTGCGCGTGTGCATGCACATGAGCAGCAGAGCTGAGCTGAGGTTACGGCTCGCATGCCCAGAGAGAGGGCTCTGCATGCCACCTCTGGCACGCATGCCATAGGTTCGCCAACACAGCCCTATACCATATCAGACAAGTAGCTGTCTAGTCTTTTCTTAAAAACCTCCAGCGATGAAGCACCCACAACTTCTGAAGGCAACTTGTTCCACTGGTTAATTGTCCTCACTGTTAGGAAATTTCTCCCTAATTCCAGATTGCTTCTCTCCTTGATTAGTTTCCACGCATTGTTTCTTGCCTTGCTTTCTGGTGCAAGATTATCGTCATTATTTTATTCTAGAACTTTTAACTAGGTACTCTTGAGAAGTTTTAATTGTAATGGTCTTTGACTGTAATAAATATTTGATATTTAAAAGGTAAAGCAACACATATAAAAGCAATTTTTACAGGAAAACTTAAATTCTGTAGTAACCGAGCTAACTTAGTAAAGATCTGGATTTAATGTCTCTTTCTCCCATGCATTCACATATACTCACCGACTCACCACATGAACATGTATATGCACATACACACACAGACACATACAAGGATGCATGTATCTTTTTCTATTATATGGCTCCATATAATGACAAAACAGCTTGACTTTGCCTATAAACATATGCTGATCTCTCTTTTAAGGTCACTATTCCCTATATACAATTTTGTTGTGCAACTGAAGGTTGAGTTATATAGCATATGATAATTGCTTCCAGTTAAAAAATCCAATCCTGTAATTTTAATGCTTTCTTCTTTTTGGCTGGAAAAGCTTATTTTAAGCTTTGCAAAACATTTCTATAACTGCTGTCTAAAGTCTACTATTATTATGATATTCCTTATCAGACAGAATTGAGTGCTTTAGGCAATCTACAAGGGCGGGTTCCAAAATATAAAGTTGCATTTAGATCTGCAAAAGATCCGTTCAATCTGGTTTGCTCAGCATACTGTAAAGCAGTGATCCCCAACCTTTTTTATGCCGCGGCCCGGTACCGGCATCAGCTGGGCGCCGCGGCCCGGTACCGGCATCAGCTGGGTGCCGCGGCCCGGTATCAGCATCAGCTGGGCGCCGCCATCTTTTTTTGATGAAAAAGTGCTTCCGGTGAGCTTTCTACCCGGAAAAGCTCACCGGAAGCACTTTTTCATCAAAAAAAGATGGCGGCACCCAGCAAACCAGCGGCCTGGTAGGACTTGTTCCACAGAACGGTACCGGTCCGCGGACCGGTGGTTGGGGACCCCTGCTGTAAAGCCTTCATGTTCTACAGTTAGCAGTATTGGACAGAGGGCTTATAAAGCCTCACTTAAAGAAATTGTTCTTCTTCCCATAATGAACATGGGACATGAATTTCTTCATTGTTCCATCTATATGCTGGCATATTGATACAACTTTCTAGTAGAGATCAAACTTTCAGGGAGAGAAAGGTGGTCAACCGTCCTATTATAGAGTTGCCAAATTCTTATTGGTAGCTATTGCTAAAAGAAGTCTTTAGATGTTCTAATCCTGGAATGATGTTACAAAGAAGTCCTTTTATTCTTTTATCTAAATTTTATTCTTATTTATTCACTTTTTCTTTATTATATACTGTTCTCTTTTGCTTAATTCTTATAGTAAATTTTAATTGGCAGTTTATATAGTAATTTTATGATATTTAAGTTTGCTTTTATGCATTATATTTAGCTACTTAGCTGGTCACTGATCAAAAATAAAGTTTTCATACTATTACTATTCAAGAATAACATGTTTATGTCCTTTTATTCTATTGTCATACAGAGTAGTATCCATAACACTTATTTCTATTAATCAAATACTTTAGTCTCTAGAAAGAAAAAAAATGCTCTTGGTTTCCTAGTCCTTCTATATATTTGTCTTTGTGAAAGTTTGCAAGCTTTGCATTATTCACTCAACCTTTTCCTCACTGATAAAAGATTCATTGTTCAGTACACAGTCAACTTACAGACATTTGTTTCATGACCGTTTGAAATTACAATGTATTGAAAAAAGTGACTTACGACCATTTTTTACACTTCACAGATCCCCAGTCACATAATCAAAATTTGGATGCTAGGCAACCAGAATGTGTTTATATGATAGTTGCTGTATCTGGGATCATGTGATCACTTTCTGCAACTTTCTTACAAGCAAAGTCAATGGGAAAGCCAGGTTCACTTAACCACCATGTTACTAACTTAAACAACTGCAATTATTTAGCTGTGACAAGAAAGCACAAAACTCGCTTAACCACTGTCTTGCTTAGCAAGGGAAATTTGGGGCTCAATTGTGGTCATTAGTTGAGGACTACCTGTATCTTATTTTCTCCTAGAACTATAAAATAATTATTGTGGTCAAGAAAAGGTGCAAACTGAGTCAAATTCTTACCATTATCTCTTCATCCCGATCTGGCGATAACACTAAAGGGATAATAACCTGATTGCGCAACAGTGGAGTCTTCTCATGCTTCAGCACTTTGTTCAGAGTATTAAGCTGTCCTGACAGCAGAGCAAAACTATCTAGCACGGAGGGCCTAAGGCAGAAAGACGGAAATAGAAATATGTGAATTATATCAAAATAACATCTGTGGATACATTTGAAGGAATTAAATTACTCTTTGGATTAGAATGCTGTAACAAAGAAATATAACTCACTGAACATAACCACCCTAATTTTAACAGATGTCATGTACAGATTTCCCTATAGGAAATATTCTGGTTTCTACACATTCAAAGCAGCTAACAATTCAAAACACAAATCTTAGAAACTAAAAGACAAATTAAAACCAATTAAAGCATTAACAATTACAATTTTGGTAAAGAAATGTGTCTTGGCTATTTTTCAAAGAGACACGTGTACTAAACACTGCTTTTGGGGAAGTTCATTTATGCTCTTTTTTGTTGTTGCAACACAGGATAATGCCTTCTTCTGTGTGTCAAATAAATGAGCCTTTGACAGCCAGGGCATTTTCAAAAAGATCTTTATAGGATGACAGATCTTAATGTGAATACTGAATAGAGCCAAACAAACCTAAGTTTGATCATCTTGTTAGGTAAAAAAACTGAAAATGCCTCTTGTTTCAACACCCAGTGAAATTTGAGCAAATATACTGATTTTATATTGTTATATTTCAAAAATGTTCCAAAACAAAGAATAGTTGCTACAGGGATCAAGCAAAACATTAGGGTTTTTTTTTTGTTTTATTGCCTGAGCCTTTATATATTTAGAATAATTGCCACTGAATTTCATGAAAGTCACACAAAGATCAAAAAGGAAGGGACTTAAGCCTTTGCTTTTAGCCATAATAGGTGGTCACATCCTGAAATCTGAAAATTTGCTTCATTCTCCAAATAAACTGGGAACTAGTAATGATTAAGTTTTTAATTGCAGCATACTGAGTTCAATGTATGTTGGCAGGTATCCTAAATTAGGTGAAATGCTGTCCCCTCCCATCAGTACTAGCTGGCTATGAAACCTTACCAAGTGAGACGGTCATATTCATTCTCCAGCTTGTAAATGAAACTGACCAAGGAGTTCTTCAGGTCAGCCACTTGACTGATAAGAGCCTCCAGGGATAGCTCAAGCTGCTTTTCCTCTCTCTGGAAAGGACATACAATAAGATTAAACATACCAGCTTTCCAACAGAATAGCAAAGTGTCCCTCAAAGTTTACCTTTTGACTTTTTAAACAACAATCCCTGTGTTGTTTTCGGCTAACAGATACATCATGACAGTTAGCTTCCCAATGAAAACTTAAAACAACAAAAATGGCTTTTCAGTAATTATAAAAGGAAAAAAAGGGTGACCCACTGATGGGAGAAAATGGAAGACAAAATAATAATAGGGGCTGAGGAAAGGACATAATGCTTCAGTTCTTGCTTTGTTTTTCTTTAAAGGGGAATTGTGTTCCAACAGACCTAAACATAACAATGGGCACAAGGAAGAAATGGCAATCCATGGCATATAGATTGTTAAGGGCTACCTGGCTGCCATGACTGAATTTAATTCTCCAAGATCAGAACAATTATATCTAACAGTTTTGAGTAGCTTTTGGATTTCATGTTATCAGTAATGTTTCCAGATTCAGTTCAAGGTACTGGTTAACACCTTAGTACTTCATAGCACAAGACCTGGTTATTTGAGGGATCTCACCTACTCTTGTAATTTCTGTCTGTTTTATATTATGACAAAGCATGCATATTCTAGGTCCCGTTAATTATTGGGACCCAGTAAAACCTTTTCTGTTATGGAACCTGCCCACTGAAACAGCATTCCTCTTTCTTATGAGAGAATTTTTTAATAATACAAATATTAGAAAAGAAACAAAAGAAATAATGCAGAATGGTGAATATGAAAGAAAAAAGAAAAGTTAAGGAAACAGCTTTTGATCTTTTTGACAGCAGTTATAAATACATTTTATTTATTTTTATTTATTTTATTTTGTCAAGTGATTATCAGATAATAGGTATAAGTAAAAACATAGTTATGAATACATGGATACATATAAAAATAAAAGAAACAATAGAACAGGGACGGTAGGCATGTTGGTGCGCTTATGCACACCCCCTGCAGACCTCTTAGGAAAGGGGTGAGGTCAATAGTAGACAGTCTAAGGTTAAAGTTTTTGGGGTTTGGGGAAGAAACCACAGAGTCAGGTAGAGTATTCCAGACATTGACCACTTTGTTGCTGAAGTCATATTTCCTTCAATCAAGTTTGGTGTGGTTAACCTTGAATTTGTATCTATTGCGTGCTCTTGTATTGTTATGTTGAAGCTGAAGTATTCATTGACAGGTAGGACATTACAATGTATAATTTAATGTACTATACTTAGATCAGACCGAATCCTAGCTTCTCCCTATGGTTGCATTATAATTTCCTCCTTTCCATAAACTACCCTTTTTAATCTTCAAATCTTTAAATCCCAAACTCATTTTTCTCTGTTGTCATAAAAAAGTTTATAAAGGGTTTCCAATCATTGATAAATGTAGTTGTTGATCTTTTTCTAATCAGATTAATTTTTCCACTATGGTTGCTTTGTCCATCTTCATCAACCATTTTTCTGTTGTGGGTATTTCAGAATGCCTCCATTTTGTGCATATCTCATTTTATACAGTAATCATATACTGTATAAAAATAAACTTCTAAGACACTTTTCTGATTGTCCATTAATCCCAGCAAGAAAAGTTATGGGTTCAGTTGAAGGTTGATCTTTAAAGTTATATCGCTCTATATATTTGAATTTAGAAATTTCTGAATTTTTTACAAATCCATCAAATATGATAAAATGACCGTTGTGTCCATATTTCTAACATAAATTTGAAGTACCTTTATACATTTCAGACAATTTTTCTCGAATCAAATACTGATGGTACAAAATTTTATAAAAATATCTTTCAAGTTACACAATAATGTAAATTTTAATTCTTTTAACCACTTATTTTGCCACTGTTCCATCAGTATATTGTGTCCAAAGTTCTTAATCCATTTCATAGGTCTTTCATTTGTTCTTTTTCCATTTCAAATTTCAGTAAGTTTAAACATTTAGCAATTCAACTTACAAGTTCAATTTACAATTCCGTCTTCTGCTGCTCAATTTCAAACATCTTATTTACTTTAAAACCTTCTCTTAATTGAACATACAAAACCATTATAAACTAAACCCTCCTGCTGTCAATCGCTCTCTTTATTTCATCTTATATTGTCCATGTTCATGGGTAATATGGGTAAAATACAGTATATATTATATATTACTATAGTAATCACAATTCTTAATAAAATATATATTTTAAAAAAGAAAAGCTGAAAGAAAAGAGAAGAAGAGGACAACCACTAGCAAGATGGATGAACTTTGTTATACTGGCAATGGTGTTCCACTGGAAGACCTGAAAGATCAGGTTAGGAACAGATCATTATGGAGAAAATCTAGAGGTTGCTGAGAGTCGACACTAACTTGGTAGCACAAAATCAATCAATCAGAATCTCTGATTGACAATCTTTTACAATAATGTATAAAGTCTAAAAGTCTAAAAGTTTAAAGTATAAAGTCTAAAAGAGTTTCCAATCAGGTATTGTCAGCCTTGAGTAGAATTAGCTTATTTGGTTACGTTTCTTGTCTGCTCTGACAAGAAATATAATCAAATGAGCTAATTCTAGTTTATTGTAAGGATCCAATAATAGAATTTTGCAAGTCTGAATACAAAGTTCCCACTGCCACATTTAACTGCATGATCAACTAGGACAGACTTTCCTAAATTTCTTCCTCTGACCATTAAATCACTGGGGACCACCCACTATTTTTTGTCAAATTGTTTCCAAGGCAGCATTCTCTTCCTTCAAGGTCATCCTCATATACTATTATACAGGCACCTTGGGCTAGTCACTCTTTCTTAGCTCTGGAAAATAGGCAATAACAAACAGCTTCCAAAATCTTGGACCAGAACGCTCAGGGACTACTCCAGGTATCTGACAGGAGTGAACACTGACTGAAAGAGACATATCCACATATAAATACAAACACACAACCCCCCCCCAAACTGGTAGAATATCTCTCATACTTCAATTTTCTGAGATTGTGGATTTGGGGTTTTCATGAGCTGTAAGCCATAATCATTTCAATTATGACAAATCATGGCTTGAACTATCTTGCTTTGCATGTAATGAGTCTATCTCATATATTAGTTTCACCTTTTAAGTTGCATTACTGAAATAAATGAACTTTTGCATGATATTCTAATTTTTCGAGTTTCACCTGTAGTTATTCATAGTCAAATTTTCACAAACACGTTCAGTTGCAAAAACATTCAGCAATTCAGTAATGTGAAGCAATAAATAACTCAGCAATAAAATCCAGCTTCTCAATGATTAGGTTTGCAGATGCTACAGGCTGAGTAGCTGTCTTAACAATTATCCACAGGCAGTAATTATTAAGGAACTAGAGTTTATGTTTATAAAGACCAGCAGTCTGTAAGCTATGTGTAGCAATGTTGCAATTACATTTAATTTTGTTTCTTTTTTTGCTTCTAAATGAACTCTCCCACATCTGAGGTGTATTCATGTGGGAACATTTTCACCTCCATTTGTAACTGTGTAATCTTTATTCTGTGTTTTTCTATGTTTGATATGTAATATGAGACCAATTGATTAGATCTGTACCAATACTTTCTATAATTGTTATTGTTATATCTTACATTAAAAGTAAATTTGTTTAGATTAAAATGAAGTCATTGGCAACATTTCTGTTAAAATCCTGAGAGTTAAAGGTAAAAATAAAAATCATCAAGTACATTTATTTATTTTCAATATCTTTGGGGGTTTTCCAAATTACTATGACTGAAGTTTACTCCACTTTCATCTTAACTACACACGCTAGACTGTGACATCCTTTAATGTTCCTTTAATTTAGCCTATACTACCGTGTTTCTCCGAAAATGCATGTCCTAAAAATAAGGCCAATCCTGATTTTTTGGGCCCTCCCCCCAAAATAAGCCCTAGTGAAGGGGGTGGGCATGGCCAGCACAGGAGGCAGCCCTTCCCTTCCCCAGGTGAGCTAATGGCAGCTGGGCCCCTTAATTGGGAGCCACGGATAAGCTGAGCTAATTGGTAGCTGCCTCTCCTTCTATCTCTCTGGGCACCTGGAGGTGTTTCTTGCACACTCTTGCCAGCCACAGCCCTGCCGCGGCACCAGGCAACCTCACAGCCGAGGGCCCCTTGTCGAGTCCCGATCCAAGGCTCGCCATATCTGGGTGGGGGGTGGGGGCACGGAGCTGCAACCATTGGAACTGGCAAGTCCAACGTCAAGCGAGGCTGCGGTGGCAGGCCACGTCAGGACAGCATCGGCCAGCCACTTGTCAGCACGCTGCTCTTCTGGCCGGGTCTGGCTGCGACTGGCACCAGCAGGCAATGAGGTGGGTGGCCGGTGCAAAGAACAGGAAGGCAGCAGTGGCAGACAACGAGGTTCTCTGCCCAGTTGCTGGGTGGGCATGGCCATGGCCATGGTGGGCATGACCTAGTTGGCCTCCTGTATCACGGTGGGGGGGAGTGTTTTCACCCTCCCCGGGCTCTGGTGGCTTTCCTCGAGCTTCTGGGGTGGCGAAAATGGCCAGGAGGCCTGTTTTTTTTCCCCTTCCCAAGCCTCTGTGTGGGCCCTGCACTGACCTGGTATCCAAATAGGCCACGTGGGGACTCCTGGAAAGGGAGGGGGCAGAGTGGGCAGGCCCAGCCAGGGATGGGATTTGCCGGTTTGCCGAACTGGCCATAAACCTAGCTACAGGTTTGCCCAAACCGGGGAGAACCAGTAGCAGCCCACCCTTGATTATGGGGTCATTAAATGGAGGAGGAGTGGGGGGAGGAGGGGGAGGGGGAGGAGGAGGAAATGTCTTGTAGGAGTATTGGGAGATGGATATCAGGGTACAAAGACCCAGAGGATTTCTGGAAGAAGAAACTTGGAGCTTCCATCTTTTTATTCTGTAAGCCACAGTAATTTGCTGCATGGTGAACAACAACCCTATATCAAACACCAGCTGAACAGGTCAAATCTAGATGAAATCTAGATTCCAATAAGAGAGTGTGGATGCTCTTCTACCAACCAGTAAATAATTATAATAGTAAATGGACATCCAGTAAGCGCCAGGAGGAAAACTGAAGTCATGATTTCCATTGTAAAGGCCCTATTTTTGTAGACTAACACTTGGCTTAAGCATCATAAGTGCAACTGTTGTTTGCCTAAGCCATACAGAAAGTGCACATAAAACTACATTTTAAATGGAAAGTGGGAGCCTGCTATGCTACATAGAGAAGATCTAGCAGAACACACATGGAAGACCAATCAGAAAAGAAAGAGGGTTAATAAAGATGGATCTGCTCTTTCTGAGAGCAAGCAGTTTTCCAAAGTCTTCCACAGAAGCCAGCGACATAGCTGTAGCAGACACAACTACTGTAAAGCAGCAGAATCAAGTTCAGGTCCAGGCTCTGAGCAAATTAATGAGGCGGAAAGACAAGTACTAAACTTGTCCACCTAAGTTGCTGTCGAAGAAGCAGATGTCCTAAAAGGAGGAAAATCTACATAGATGTCAGAAACTGTCCTCAATTGCAACAGAGTAGTTCAAGACAGAGCAAGAAGAACTGCACGGTCTGTATATGATCTGGGAGAAGCTGGAATGCATTCTCACTCCCTTAGGCAATTTCAGATTTTGAATTTGAGACTGTTGTATCAGGAATATTTTTCACAAAGACGGAGAGAGATAATTAGTTTTGCTCAGGTTTTGCGGACTATTTTAAGCTTGCAAATAACCATCCACATGGCCATATTCGAAACAAGGAAAAGTTCAGACAGATTTTTTACAGGTCTGGAATTGGTAGGAATGCACAGTTCTGGAGGTGAGGTGGAGAATAACCAAGAATAAGTTGAAGGCACATATTTAAAACATGTCATTTTAAGAAAGTTCATAAAAATTCACAACTTTTAATATATAAAAATATTAAACACAGAAGCGGACAGGGTCTTTGTGACTAATCCAACTAGCTGTATTCTGAGGAATGCGGTGGCTCAGTGGCTAAGATGCTGAGCTTGTTGATCAGAAAGGTCGGAAGTTCAGCAGTTTGAGTCCCTAGCACTGCATAACGGAGTGAGCTCCCATTACTTGTCCCAGCTTCTGCCAACCTAGCAGTTCGAAAACATGTAAAAATGCAAGTAGAAAAATAGGGACCACTTTGTGGGAAGATAACAGCATTCAGTGCACCTTCGGTGTTTAGTCATGCCAGCCACAAGGCCAGAGTTGTCTTCGGACAGCACTGGCTCTTTGGCTTTATAATGGAGATGAGCACTGCCACCTAGAGCCGGAAATGACTAGCACGTATGTGCAAGGGGAATCTTTACCTAGCTGTATTCTGGACATATGGCACTTGATTGGTCAGGGCTTCCAGGAAGATGGCATCAAGTTGGGCCTAAGCAGTTGTTAATACCTCTTTGCTGGCAGGAGTTACTGTCTGACTGAAATGAGGTGGTAATGCCCTCTTCTCAAAAAATTATCCTTGGGCCCAACAGTTTTAGACAACTTTCAACCACTTTCCAACTTTGACTTTTAGGGAAGGTTGTTGAGAGGGTGGTTGGTACTCAGTTATACAGGGCCCTGGATAAAGCAGATTAACTGGACCCTTTTCAGTCTGAATTCAGCCAGAATACAGTACTAAGATGAAATTGGTACTCGTCTCTGATCTCACGACAGGGAAGGTGCAACCATCCCGATCCTTCTCATCTCTCAGGGGCTTTCAATACCACCAAACATGATGTCCTTTGAAGCCAGCTTTGGAAGCTAGGAATAGGAAGCACTGTTTAGCAGCAGTTCTCATTTCTTTATGGCCAGTTTCAGTCAGTCAATGCAAGATCCCTTAGGGCTTAGATCTATCTCGTCTCCTCTTTTAACATTTACATGAAACTGCTGGCTATGGTCATTTACTGGTATGAGGCAAGGTATACATCTCCATTTTCTGGCTGAGCAGGGGATGCTGCCATGGTATTGGCTGATTGCATGGAGGCTGTGAAAGTCTGGATAGGAAGGAACTGACTTCAACTGAACTCTGTCTTAACATAGTGGCTTTTGGTCTCCCAGGGTCTGGTAAGATGCCATTTTTGACTCTGGACATAGCTGGTATACATTTTGGGGACTCCCCTAGACTCACAGCTACTATTCAATAAGCAGGTGATAGTCCTGGCAAGAGAGGCATTCACACAAATTTGTCTTTTTTATGCTTATGCTTAATCAATAATCTATAGGGACACCCAGATTCTTCTCTTAAGTACTATTATTAAGCCAGGTACCGCCTATCTTGTAGTTGTGCATCTGGTTTTTCCTGCCTCAGTTGCAGAATCTTATATTTCTTATCACTGAAAACATGTTGTTGAATAGGGCCAATGTTCAGGTCTATCGAGATCCTTTGGAACCTTGAGGCTGTCTTCTGTCAGCAGTACCCCACAGGTTTGTGTCATCTGCAAATTTTAGGAGCAACTCCTCTATTCCTCCATTTAAGTCATTTTTGAAGACATTGAAGAGTATTGGATCCAGGAGAGAACTCTGAGGTACCCCAGTACATACCTCTCTCCATGGGGATATAGACCATTATAGACCACATGTTGGATATAGTTGTTCTGCTAACTGTGAATCCATCTGGTAGTGGGACCATCCATCCCATATCTTTCCAGTTTATCAAAAAGGAGGCTATGGTCTACTTTATTTAATGTTGTACTGAAGTCTACTTCATCCACAGCATTATCCTATTCTACTAATCTAATCACATTATCAAAGAAAGCAATAATACTTGTCTGGCACAACCTGTTTTTAACAAATCCATGCTGACTGCTGGCTATCACTTTATTTCCAAATTCTTGCAAACCAAGTGCTTGATTATCTTTTAAAAATTTCCCCAGAATAATATTCCTGGCACTAAAAACAGTGCAGCATACAAGTCCCAAAACTTTCTGGAACAACCAAGCTTTTTACAAATTACCAAAAAGACAGAAATAGGAGATATTATTTTTCCAAAAAAGGAACTCCCATGGAAAATACCCACTGGGGGGAGGGCTTCTCGAACCTTCAATTGTCATTTTGAAATGTGTCATGAGTTAGTGCAGCTTCCAGAGCAAAAATATTACTGGCAGTAATAGGACTTTGCAGTAAACTTACTAAAATTTTCAGTGGTATTCGAGGACAGCTCTATGTAAAAAAAAATGACAGCAAATGGATACTGTAAGATGACAAAGCTGTGAATGAACTAAGACATTAAGATATTCATAAAAAGATGAAGATTTTAATTTTCCTAATTTTCATCTATACTATTGGGCTTATATTGACATATATTATTTCCTGGAAATCAACAAGAAGCTCAGAAAACACCAAGGACTCTGCAATGCAACTTTGAGCTATAAATATTCTCTTCAATTGGCATTATGCTGATTGTTCTACTATAGTAGAAAGAATTCACACCTCAACATCATGGATGGAAGACATACTTATATTTTGTATATATGAACTGCTTTTCTATGGGGTGAAAGTTTAATTAATTCTTTAAGACCAAACACTCTTGCTTGTTTTATCATTCTATGTATTTCTATGTTCATTCTACCATGCATTAATGTTTAATTATTTTTCTTTGTACTTTGTTTTTTGGCTTCTCTTTTTTCTTCCTTGTATTATCATTTGTTCTTGTATCTAGTTATTTTCCTTTTTTATTTTATTACATATTAAAAAGCAATAGAGATAGCTCTATTGCAACCAAGGCAATTGTGGCCCCTAGGTTTTTAAAGAACTCCTGCAATTAATGGGTTCCATCTAGTGGTACTCTAAATTTCTGCAGTCCGGATTGTGGAGTGTGGAGAGGTCAGTTTACAGAATGTATAAAATTTTGTATTTATTAAAAACATCTCAAGCACAGTAAAGTACATTGTAATCACAATTTGAAATTGGGGGTTTAACATTATTTTAGTTGCAATCATTTTTCTAAGACAATTCTTCCCGCAATTTCCATTACTCATCATCTGTCAAAGTCTTGCTGCTGTAATTGAGAACTGCTGGTACCTGCAGTTACCTAAAATGTATGTATTAATATTCAGTCATCCCAGATTGCATACAGATTCATAATGTCTGATTTAACATAGCTCTTTATATTGTATACTTCAAAAGACATGTTCTAGGATTCTGTCAGCAAATCCCATTGCAACTTTCTTCAATCTGATAATAGCTGCTAAGTATTAACTGCAAACCAATCAGTAATATAGTAACAGATTAAGCCAGTTAGAAATTCTAAAAGCTGTATATTGCTGCACAAAGGATGGGCATCACTTTGGGGAAAATTATTTTAATCTCTGTGGGATTCTTACTTTCATCCCGTTTGGGAATGCAACCTAGATCCCATTCATGCAACACTAGCATAAGACTAATTCCAAGGCCTGCGAAGATTACAAAATAGATCACCCAAAAAGTCAATGTGCTAAATCGAGCAAAAAGTACAGCCAACAGGGTAGCAGCAAACCAACAGACATGACACATTACTTCAGCTTTCTGAACCAACAGCTTTCACAGTTGTACGGTCAAGATCTCTTCCAAGGTTCAGTGTGGTCGTCAGTTCTGATAAGTGTGCGCTATTTGCACGGGGGGGGGGGGGAACGGACCTCGGTGTGTTGTTCCAGTCCCCAAATCCTCTGCCCACCCCCCTCCCCCGCCTCCAATCTGCTGCTACAAGAAGCTGGACAGCAGGCAGCCATGTTTATTTCTACATCATTTCTGAACGACGCCGTTCATTTAGGGCTAAGGTTGGAGAAGCCCAGTGGGTCAGAATTTAGCATAGGACCAGTGTGTGTCGAACAAATGCAGGTAAACGGGCTAATAAAACAAACCACGGATTAGCGCGCTCCCGCAGCCTAGATCGCTCTCGGATCGGATCTTTTATTTTTTTTTAAAAAAAAAAGCCAAGCCAAACTATACTCAATCCCGCCGGCAATCTCTAGGAGAGCTGGATCTTTAGACAAGCCCGGCATCCCACCCATTCCAAAACAACCGGCCGCGGCCACTTCACCTGCATGGCAACAAAATCCGAGGTCAGCGATTAAAAAGGCAAAGCACCCGGGCGGTTCACGCCATTTCCTTTTTTTGTTTCCTCTTCCGGGTCAGAGCATCATCACAAGGCGAAGGCAGGAGGAGGAGGAGGAGGAGAGAGAGGGGGGAGGGGAGGAGGAGAAGGAGGGAGGGAGGGGCGGTTGGAGGGCCAGCGATGGCGGCTCCAGAGCAACCGGAGGCTGAGGTACGTACGCCAGGCTCGCACGTGCTGCGCTCGCGGAAGCTTGTTGTGGAAAGGGTGGTGGTGTGATGTGGTGGTGGTGGTGGTGGTGGTGGCTGCGCGCGCCAGCCCGCCCGCGGGGCGTGCCTTCATTTGAGAAGCTCCGAGCTTAATTGGTAGAGACGCGGAACGAGAAGAGGGGTCGCGAGGGTGGTGTTTTTTTGAGGGGGGGGCGGCGGAGGCGAAGGACGCCGCTGGGAGTGGCCGCTCGGTTTGCTTGGGGAGCGTGGGGGGGGGGGGAAAGCGAGGGTGCAGCGAGGTGCATTTCCCAGGGACCGGTGCCAGCGCCAGACCTGGTGAACGGTGAGGCTGTTGCACACCTGTTGCACGGAGAAGGTCTGAGGACGTGGTCCGTTAAAAACAACAACAACAATAACCCGGTTCCCAGCTTTCCCAAGCAAAAAGCTTTTTGTAAGACACGAATTGTGATGCCGTTTTCTATAGTTCCGCAACTGTGTTTTCATACAGAGCCAGTGTAAAGGAAGTGTTAAGTTAAGACAGTCGTTTCAGCCTAATTTGGGCACGAAAGATCAGCGGTCGATAAACTAACTAATGTCCCAAAGGTACTTTTTCAAGCTGCAACTGGACTTTCTGGAAGCAGAAAGTTCAGTTACCTCTTGAAAAAGAGCCTTTAGGACCGCCGTGACCTTGGATGACTGAGCATCTCCATAGACATTTTCTGCAGATGTTATCCTATCAAAGTCGGAAACCGTCACTTCTAACCGCCCACCTTCCCAGGGTCCTCCTCTCCGTAGCAGGGTGTTGTACAATGTACATCACTCACTTGCGGACAATTTGCTCCAGTTCTAAGTATTGCTAAATAGTTGTATGTAACTTTACTTGGAAAGCTCACTAATTGAATAGAATTTGTTTTCAAGTCAGTTTGCCTATGACTCAGTTTGCTGCTGCTAAGGGAAAATAATGGACCTTGAATAACATTCTCAATTTAAACCAGTATGTCTGAGAAAAGGTTAGCATGAGAAATATTTGATTGATGCTGTTGGCTGTCATTAGATCATCTTCTGTGACTTGTAACTGCAAATGATTGTTTCATGAAACATGCTTGCTAGAATCCTGCTTGCAGCAGAAAGATTTAACATGGTTGATTTTATTAGAAGTTTAGAAATTATTGAAATGGTTTTCTAAATCATTGACATGGCATAGCAATAGAAACTATTATTTACCACAATTAGCCAACTAAATATACCAAGAGCCAGCCTGTTACATTGGACCAGGATTAAAGAACTTTGGGTTCTCATCCAACCCTAACCTGTGGAAATGTTTTTGTTTTCAGTCAGATCTGTTTAAGCCCCTAATCTGTGTGAAATTTTTCAAAGCCAACAATCCTCTTGTATATTCAACAAAAACAAATCCAATTTATAGCTAAACTGTTTTTAAGGGATATTCACTCATTAATTTCAATAAAGCTTGCCAGTCCAGAGGTTCTTGATCTTTAAAGAAAGTCAAAGGATAAAAAAAAAGTCCAAAGTGATTAAGAGATGAGCCTTTTAAGAGTCCATAGAGGCAAATTTAATGCTATAAGCACAATGGAATTCTGTGATTCTGAGCTGATTAACAAGCTGATTGCAAAAACACATTTCCTGCCTCCTTTCAAAAATGCAGCTGTATGGAGTACATATGGGCAATCTAACTCGGCCACACAATTCCTGCAGTTGGATGCTCTTTTTTTGGCTACAATGTGTTTCATTCTCTTCACTTCACCATGTATGAGTAAAAAGGTAGGTTAAAAAACTAATACATGGTCATGAATGCTCAGGTTCCTCATGCAGTACACTACCATCTTTGTCAAATTTTCTTTAATGGTAGATATCATTTTCAATCTCATTTCATTTCTAACTTGATGAATTTTTCATGTTTTTTTAATCCAGCAATTTACCTGTGGCTTTTTATTAGATCTGTCAAAATTACTCCTCAAAGTGGGAGAAAAAAGCCCAGTTCAATACAAATACAATTTTATACATTCAGTTGTTTCCCCCTCCCCCCCTTTCAGCTTTAGAGCATGAAATTAAGTGTGAATCATGTAATAACTTCTGTTTTGGCATATAATATAGGTAATTTAAATTTCAAATAGCTTTTTAATGTTTGAAAAAACACATGGGCATATTCCTTTTCCAAAGGCCCAGATTGTTGGGGGCAATATGCTGACTCTGTAAACTGCTTAGAGAGGGGCTATAAAACACTGTGAAGTGATATATAAATCTAAGTGCTATTGCTTAATGTTTTTTTTAAAATTTTCAGATAGAGGAGGCTGGACAGGTGTTCCTCTTGCTGAAGAAGAACTATCGAATTTCACGTAATGTGCGACTAGCTTGGTTTCTCGGTCGTTTGCATCAGGTTGTCTGCTCGATGTCTGAAGCTGAATTGGTGAGAAGATTTTATTGCAAAGTTTCCGAACATTTTTTGTAATCTGAGAGAAGCAGAAAGGGGTTAGTTCTTGTGATTTTAGGAAGAGTAATTCATTTATGGAATGCTGTGATTTCTTTCAGTTTTTGCTTTTAGCTTCGTCTCTTAGATTTTTGTTTCGTTTTGTTGAAGGCAAAGTCAGACAGTGAGTTAGATATTCTCAGCATTCTACCAAACAGCTGGCAACCTGATGAGCCTTTGCAAACTAAGCCGTACCTCCTGGTGCCTTCAACACATGTCACTTTCCTTGCACACCGGTACCGTTTTGTGATTGAACTGGATTTGAGTCCATCTACAGGGATTGTAGTAAGTATATTAATCTCTCCAAGTTGTATTTTGAGTTTCCTTTGGCTGAGAGTACTTCCTGTTCAGAACTCCCAGAAATATATCCCCTATGAAGAGAAACCTGCCTATTTTTTTTTAAAAAAATCTAGCTTACATTTATGGAGATGTTTAATGTTTAATAGGTGAAAATTATTATGAGTTCCAAATATTTTAAATATAAAATTTGTAAGACCTACTTCCAGGTGACTGGAGAGAATTACCTCCGAGATAAATTAAGGAAAACTTGCATATCCTCTCTCTTTTTTTTTCCAGGATGACTCTCCTGGGGAGATAATTTTTGATGAAGTGTTCTATGCACTCTCAAGGTGTTTAGGAGGATTGTTAAAGCCCTTTAGAATCCCAGGTTCTGATATTATATTCCAACCTGAGATTTTCATCACTATCCAAGCATATTCTTCTATCATTAGCCTACAGATGCATCAGGTAATACTTATATCTTCAGTTTTGAGATGTTTATGCGAAATGCTTAAACTGTTTAGAGTTAAAATGACTTGTTGCCAAGGAATAAGACGATGAACTGTAATCTCCAGCATATAAAATGGACTAGGTATCCTGAATTACTTGTGGGCATTTTGGACTGCATTTTCTATAATCTATAACATTGACAGTATTCAGTATGTTTTATGAAAAAAACATAGTCTAAAATATTTGATGTCAGGTTGCCTGCCTGTGTTGTAAAGAAATTGTTAACTAGAATATGTTGCATGCGGATACATCTTCTGGGTAACCTTTTTATATGCAATGAGTTTGATCAGAAGGAAAAGTTGACCCAGGTGAACTTTACATCTTTGGCCTAATTATATCAAACATAGATGTAATTTAAGTTTTTGAAAATAAAAATATGTGTTGTTTAACGTAAAATGTGAGTTCTTTCCCACGTCATTGTAGTTGTGCTTTTAAAGTTGTAGCAACGTTTCGGCAGAATCTCATCTGCCATCATCAGGCTTCTGTATTGTGTTCGTCTGTGAGTCAGACTTTCACAGCCTTTTCTGTTTTAAATTTGGTGCTAGCCTACTGCTGTGCCAGAATGGTTTTTTCTTCACCCTGATTGGTTGGGAGTCTTGGTCTGTGTTTATTGGTCTTGGAGTTTGCTGTGTTCTGCTTTATTGGTGTTTCTAATATCTTCTGTCTGTTTTGTAGCTTTTTTTTTTTTTGTCTTGATTGGCTGGCAACATTGTGTTTCCTGTATTGGAAGCTTTTAGAGTGGCTTGGCTCCGAGTAAATGGACGGCTATCATTTATTAGGAAGCTAGGTTTCATCTGGGTGCCTGGTTGGGGTGTGTTTGAGCTGGAGGTATCAGGGGGGATCTGTTTGTGCCCAGGTGTTTGCCTGGCTTGTGGTGTGGAGATGTTTTTGTTTGAGAGTGTAGGCTTTCAAATAATTGACAGTCTGGTGGAGTCATCTCTTCTATTCATGCTTTCAGGTCTTTTTTCAATCTCTATGGCTTCTCTGATAATTCTGTGGCTGGGGTTTTCTATAGTGGCTAGGGTTTTGGTGCCATTGAAATTGATGCTATGACCTGTGGCTTTCATGTGTTGGACTAGTGAGGAAGTATGTTCCAGCTTTTTTACTGCATTTTTGTGTTCATCTAGGCGGGTACTTATTCTTCTATTGGTCTGTCCAATGTATGTGGCAGGGCATGATGCACAGGGGACTTCATATATGCCTTGGTTTTCCTGGTCAATTTTATCTTTGGAGTTTCTTAAGATGTCTGCTATTTTTCTGTCTGTTTTGAAGGCAGTCTTGATGTGATGCCTGTGTAGTATCTTACTGATTTTGTCTGTAGTAACTCTTATGTAGGGCAGGACAGCTGTTCCATAGGTCTGTTCATCTTCTAGGTCTCTATTATGTCTCAGTGTGTTTTTGTGGATCAAGCCGGTGATTTTGCTTTTGTGGAAGCCGTTAGCTGTCAGTACTTTAGTCAGGGTGCATAGTTCAGTCTTTATGTGTGTCTTGTCTGCCAGGCGTTTGGTTCTGGCGATTAGTGTTTTGGTCACGGAGTTTATCTGTGCTGGATGGTGGTGGGATTGGACGTTGAGGTAGCGGTTGGTGTGTGTTTTCTT